GTCTTCAGAGGCCCTCCCCTTCCAGGAATGACTGTTTCCAGTCTCTTCACCTCCCCTGGGACTCCCTTCTCCAGTGGTCCCTGGGAAAAGGACACACAGTGAAGTGGCCCATGTTTAAGTACTAGACCTGCCTTTTGTCCGATGTACTAGCTTCAGATGAAAGACCGAACTTCTTGAGCCCTGACTTCCTCAGTAAAACAGAGGATGCCCCTATCTCGAATGTACTGCTCACTCAGAAAATCCTTAGCAAGGCTGTGTATTCAAGACATGAAAATGAAAATGAAAGATCTCTCATCAAATCTTCGCCATTCTCCTGGTCTCCATTCTCAGCCCAGGGCAGAGCTCTGAGTGAGCTGTCACAGGTATACTTGTCCCAAGATCCACCTCCGCACCGTGGTCTGCCCCTACAACTCAGCCATACACATTCAGTCAGTCATTCAATAAACATGTATGCATCGAGCCCATCTTCAGAGCCAGGCACCATTTGCGACACTAAAACCACAGACATGAGCAAACCCCAGGAGCCTGCCCTCAAGAAGTCTGAACAGACTGTCAGCATCTCTGGTTGCTTGGTGCACTAGTTGATATTGTCAACATGATTGCATCTGGAGTCACCTAAGAGACTCGTCTCGGGACAGGCTCAGAGAGGATTAACCGAGAGGAGAAGTGAACTCAGTGAGCAGCACCTTCCAGCAGGCTCAGAGATACAGAGGTCAGAGGAAAAGCAGTGTGGCCTGCCTGCCTTCGCCTCCTCCTGGGGTCTGTGTCTATTGCTGCAGCTGATATCAGAAACCCAGCTTCTTGGTCATCCAGCGTGAGCTGAGGACTAGTGACTCTCCAGGAATCTTCCAGTCCTCCAGTACCACCTTGGGACCCCTGAGGTAACCGGCTTCATGGACTGATCAGCTATCAGGCTCTCGGCCTCTCCAGCATGTAGACAGCCACTGTTAAAGAACCTGGCCCATATCTATTGTAGAAGTCAATCTGGTGACCCCCTTTCAATATTACATATACATGCTGTCTGTGCTGTCCCTGGAGACGACCCTTCTCGGACAGATCTGGGTACTAAGGAGTGGGGCCATTGCTTCGACACGCCTGACCATGTAAACCTTAGATCTTGGTGGAAGAGTTTGGAGCTGTGAGCCGGAGAAACCCTTGAATGCTGTAAGCACAGCTTACTAGGCCATTCTGGTAGGAATTTAGGCGACAAGGATGCTAAGAGAAATGCAGACAGTGGGGAGCCTCGATCAGGAGGTCTCACAGGGGAACAAAACTCTTTCAGGAACTGGGCCATCTAAGTCATTCGTGTTATATACTGGCAAAGAATCTGGCCTCATTCTGCCTCTGTCCTAAGAACTTGAATGAGGCTGAATTCAAAAGTAATAAAGTGAATTGTTTGGAGAGGAAGTTGGGTTTGTTGTTTGGATGGTTTAAGATAAGGTTTTATACATCCCAGCTTGGCCTCAAACTCACAATGTTGTCAAGGATAACCTTGAACTCCGGCCTCCGCCTGCTGAGTGCTAGGATTACAGGGATGAACCTCCTTGTTTATGTGTCAGGGGATCAAATCCAGGGCTTTGTGCATGCTATGCAACTGAGCTACATCCCCAGCCCCGGCAGGGGACATTTCAAGGGAAGTTTTACTGAGCAGGGGACACCCACCCTGAATGTGGTCAGCACCATGCCATGAACTGAATATATGGAGAAAGCAAGCGGAATCCCTCATTCTCTCTGCTTCCTGATGGTGGGCTCAGGGGAGACTGGCTGCCCCACACCCCTGCTGCCACACCTGGAGCTACCACCATGCCTTCAGCATTGTGATAGACGTATCCTCAAACCATGAGCCAAAATAAACTCTTCCACCGTTATCTGCTTTTGTTGGGCATTTTGTCATAGCTATAAAAGAGGTTAAGTAATATATTTGGGGACCCACATCTGCCTTCCACACCAGACATCCCAAAGATATCTCTGATGCCACAGGACTATTTGGGAAACAGCTCTGTAGTTCTCAAAAATTTGAACATGGGATTTTACTTGACCCAATCCCACTACTAGATATATTCTTTGGAGAAAGAAAGATATGTTCACCAAAGTACTGATCCACAAACACTCAGGACAGCATTGCTTTTAGGAGTCAAAAAGTGGAAACAGTCTAAAATGTCCAACCACAGATACTCTAATAAACAAAATGTGATGAATCGACACATGGAATATTATTTAACCATAAAAATATTGGGTTACTGGTACACATTACAACCAACATGGCAAGTAATAGAAGCCAGATACAAAAATGCTCATGGTGTATGATACTATTGATAGGAAATATCCAGAATAGGCAAGGCAAGCTGTGAGGAGAAAGGGGGTTGATTACTAAGGGGTACAATGTTTCTTTTTAGTGATGAAAATGTAATTAGAAGTGATAATGTTTCAACCTTGTGAGCAATAGTGACCACAGATTTGGGAGGTTTTGTTTGTTTTGAGACAGTATCTATCTTGTACTCCAGACTTGCTTGGAATTTACCATGTAGCCAGGCTAACCTTGAATTCATACTATGACTGCCTCAGGCTACTGAGTGCTGTTATTATAGGTAAATACCACCTACCCTGCCTGATCCGATTAGGGGTTTGTTTGTGTGTGTGTGTGTGTGTGTGTGTGTGTGTGTGTGTGTGTGTGTGTGTGGTGAAGGCTAAGGAATAGACCAATGGTAGAGAATGTACTTAGCATGCTCATGGTCATGGGTCCAATCTCTAGCATCAAATAAATGAAAGACAAGTTAATTAAAAGAGTAGATACTAAGGTATTTGAAGTCAGTCTCATGCAAGTTCCAGTCACCAAACAAACAATCAACAGAAACCAGGCATGGTAGCACAAGCTTTTAATCCAAGAACTTGGGAGGCAGAGGCAGGTGGATGTTTATGAATTTGAGGCCAGCCTGGTATACATAGTGAGTTTCAGAAGAACCAGGGTTATGTAGAGAGACCTTGTCTCACAAAACAAACAAATACAAAATTCAACTCGACCAATTCTTTTCTTTTTAAACTGTGTCTTTCCCTATAGTACTGTCTGCCTTGTAGTCTTAGAACTCATTATGTAGACCAGGTTGGCTTCAAACTCACAGAGATCTACCCACCTTTGCCTCTCGAGTGCTGAGGTTAAACATGTGTACCACCTTGCCTGGCCCGACTGGACCACTTGTATTCACACAAGAGTTCGTTCCCTGTGTCCCCTCTGCTTCCAAGCAGGAGGGTCTGGACCAGTCTGTTTCAGACCTCCTGGAGCATTTTATCTGTGATATCACTGTAATCTGGGCCAGTGGAGTCTCTGCCTTTTGGAGTTTTTACTTCCCCCACTTGCCTCGGATTTCCAGGAAGAACGAGACCAATAGAGACCACAGCCTAAGCGTCCCACCTCTAAGCCTGTTCCAGGTCTTGACATCTCAGCCTGTCTGTCTGCCTGTCTGTCTGACTGACTGACTTCCTAGGTCTCAAGGCTGCTTTCATCATCTGTCTCTCTCCACTGCCAGCTGCCTATTTCCAACATGGACTTCACACTATCTGGTGCCCTGAACCCCTTGGTCGTCCCTACCACCCCCCATCTTCCCTGCAGCATCCACAGGACCAGACATCCAGACAAACATCTAGGAAAGGGGAGGATCCTTAGAGAAAAGCCCTTCCCTTCACAAGGAAGAGTGCGGTCCTCTCCAACCACTGTTCTATATAACAATGGGGAAACTGAGGCTCTGGAAGTCTATTTGTAGGGGTCAGTGTAGCATAAGGCATGGACCAGATGAGGGCGACAGAGACAAAGGAGACACAGGCAGAGCTAGCCAGAGCTCCAGTGGGCAGGGAAGCCTAGGTTTGGGGATCTGAAGACCTTGCCTTGGGCCCTGCTGTATGAATTGGGCATTTTAGTGAGACTAGTTGCATCCCTCATCTCTGATATCCCCACCTCTCATACTAACAAGGGCTACAGCCATTTGAAAATCATGGGTCTTGGGCCAGAAGAAAGGAAAGGAGGGGATGCGGTTCCCATCACTGGAGGTATGTATCAGAACTGGGGAGCAGTTGGGTCTCATCTTACAGCAGGGCTGGGTTAGGTGGGCTGTCCCTTCTGCTCTGGCAGCCAGGAACTGTTCACAGCCACAGCTCTGAAAACACAGTAGAGAGGCTTCAGGGGTCTGAGTGGGGAAAACTTTTGGCCTCCTCAGGTGAGGAACAGGCTGAGCCTAAGTAGTGACTTCTCTTTCCTGGAGGAACTAGAAATAAGTTGATGGTGCTCCACATGTGGCCATTGGTGTCAATTAGAAAGTTTAAAAGAAACCTTGTAGGATGGGAAGCGAGGGGGCAGAGCAAAGGCCCAGGGCCAAGGCTGGTTTGCCCTGTGACCTGGAAATTCCGTGGCTCCTCTCTGGGCCTTAGTTTTCCTCCCAAGCTCAACCAAATTGATTTGTGAGCAAGAAGGAGACAGACCCAAAAGGCATCGGGAGGGTCTTGGCCTTGGCTGCATCTGGCCAGCTCTGAATCTCAGGGGACCAATGGGCAGAAGGAAGGCTGTTCTGGGTGCTAGACACTCCCGAGGGATGAATGCTACTTGGGAAACTCTTCAGGCCCTTATTCTCAGTCCCCGAATGGGATTGTGCTGAGCCCTTGGAACGGCACAGCATAGCCAGGCCAGGATGCTGGGTGTTGGCAGGCTCTCAACAGGGCCTGATCCTTTTAGGGACCCCAGGGCCTCTAAGGGCTCTTTTCAGCATGACTGAGTAAACATGATGCCCCTTACATATGACACTTCAGGCAGGCACATAGATGTCTCAGACCCAGGGCAGACAGGGACACAGCCATATGCATATACATTCAGTGATGGGTACATAAAACCATTGGTACATGCCTAGATACATGGGCAGGACACAGGTACATCCGCATGACACCATGACATTAGCCCACACAATACACATGCAAGATTCTGCCAGGCCTGTTAGCTTCTAGGACACCAGACTGAACTTTAAAATGTGGTCTTTGCAGAGTTCCCAGGCTAGCCAGATGGCAGAGGTAGGCTTGTCTGCTCTGACCCTCTGCCCAGGAAGGAGATGTCACACTTGAGAATGGAGACTACCTCCTGCTTGAAGCTTCCGTCTATATGCCGAGTGTTCCGAATTTAAGGGTCTTTTCAGCTCTCAGGTTCCTGAATACCCCAGGTTGTTCCTCACTCAGACTGGAGAGATGGGAGCTGAGCCTATCTTCAGGCTAGTAAAATGAGTGTTGCCTTGTCTCAATGGCTTGACAGGACAATTCACCATGTCAGTTCCTCAGGACCCACAATGGCATTGCCTCTTGTTCATAATGCACCCAGAGCATTGTGTCCCATCCTGCCTCAGTGTCTCCGTCTTGGCAGTGGATTAACAGGGCCTATTCTTTCCTAATAACATGGAGGCTCATCAGGAAGGCTCTGCAGTCCATAGAGAGATGAGGGGCTAATCAGTACCCCAGAGCTCGGAGGATTGGCACATTAGAGGACTGGTGCCCAAAGGTGGTAAGGAGGGGACTCAGACTCACCCAATGACGTAGACCAGAACGACCAACTGGATCAGACGGAAAATGACTCCCACCTTCTTGTTTCGCACCAGCACCATCCGGGGAGTGTCATACTCAAAAAAGAAGGCTGACAGCTCATCCTGAAGCCGCCGTGCCATGGTGGGCCAGGAAGGGCTCAGAATTGAGCCCCCACACGGCCTCTGTGGTCAAGGGCAGGCCAGCATCTGCACCCACAGCAGTAGCAGTGGAGTGACTGGAGACTCCTCAGCCCCTTAAGAAGAGAGCAGGACAGGTGGGACCGGAGGCCAGGAGGCAGGGGTTAGTTGACAGGTTCTGGGTTGGGAGGGAAAAACCTGGGTGATCAGAAAAGCTTTTGGCTCCTGGCAGGCAGTGGAGTACCGGCCAGTGGTGCCCGGGAAATAAATTCCCAAAGATAGACAGAGGCGGAGCCAGTGGGGCCACCCAGGCCCAGCCCCACTGCCTCTCTAGGATCCGCCTGGGCCCCCTTTGGGCCTCCGGAAACAGAAGCTGCTGGCCGGAAACCACCATGGCCACCAGTCACAGGGCCAGAGATAAAGCTACTGGCTGCCCCCCTACCAAGAACCTGACAGGACAGAACTGGGGGGTCTGGTCAGGACTTGGGGTGAGATCCCCCAGAGCCCCACCTCCATCCTTACACCTAAAGTCTTGGAGTGGGCAGTTCAGTCCTGGGGACCTGTGGGGAGATGAGCAGAAATGGATATCAGGTCCTGTAGCCTAAAACTGCCCTTGGACACCGGCTGTCCACCAGTCCCTTCAAATCCAAGCCTGGCTTATTGCTGCTAACTTCAGCATCAGGCTGGCATCTCCATCCTCAGCCTTCCTCTCCCTTCATCTGACCTTTACTGTACCCCCTGACACCACTCCCATCCTATCCCTGTCACCAGAAGGGACAGGAAGGTAGACGTCTAGATAAGACTGGGGTTTCTTATCCCTATAAAGTCTTAAGACCCAGATGAGGAACCCTAATATTAGGCAGTTTTGTCGCTGTTGAGTTGTCTGGCCTGACTAAGTCTGCTTCCTGTAAAGTTAGACAATGTAACACTTTCCTCAGAGTGAAGTCCTTAGGGGAGGGGTCCCAGCATCGCGAGGACAGAGAATTGAAGCCACTGTTGAGTTAGGGGTTCAAGTCCAGTGCAGCCCTTGCCTTCCTCAGTAGTAACCCAGACCCTGAGCATAGGGGTCCCAAGACCCTGATCTGAGGCTGGCTCATATTATACCCCAGGGTCAGAGGGGAGCAATCTTACTCTGAGCCTACAAGAAGAACCAGCTTGAAGCACAGGCCTCCTTAGTAGCCTTCACTGCCCTGCACGCCAGGCCAAGCTGACCCGCTCTTAGTACTGATAAGCAATCTTCTTCCTCGTAAGTC